TTGCGCATGTCTGAATCCATTCGGTTATTTCTTGGGTCATCTGCAGCCAATAGACATATTCCCGTGCTCGTCTGAGAGTCGCTTCCACTCCACTATGGCCTATATGGAGATCAGTCTTGATATCTCTTCTCATTGCCATGAGGAACTACAAGTTGCTCTCCTCGGAAAATTAAGCCATCAACTACAGTGAGCTCATCTCTCAGGTTGAAATATGGTATCACGTGTGGTGACAGCTGTGCCTTACCCTCAGGCCATTCAGTCATGATAGTACTCTTCAATGCTTGTAAGCCCTCATCCTCACACGTGTGCTTTCTCATCTTGAGAATATCTTCTTCTGGCAGAGAACTAACTGCATTTACCAGCTCGATGTCTTTCTGGCCGTCATGGGACTTCAGGAAAGACCGACTTAGGGGATCTGCCAAGTGGTTCTCTTTCCCCTTGATGTACTGGACATCAACATCATAGTATGCTAGCCGTTTTGGTGCTCTATCCATCGGCTTTCTTGTGATGCTGTGGAGAGGCATGTGGTCTGAGAAGACTGTTACCTTGCGACCGAAAGTGAACTGATTCCACTTTTCAAGGGCGTACACTATGGCTAGCAACGCTTTTTCTATGACAGAGTAGCGAAGTTCTGCGTCTCGCAATGCTCTACTGGCATACGCTACCGGCTTGCCATATTGAGTCATAACAGCACCCAGTCCCCTTGCATTAGCATCAGTGTGAAGTGGTTTTGTCTGGTCGTAGTACATCAATATTGGCGCTTCAGTCATAAGCTGCTTCAGCTCCTGCATTGCCATATCATGGTTGGCATCCCAAGTCCATTCAGCATTCTTACGGGAGAGTTCGTTCAACGGTTGCATCACATCTGCCAATCTTGGAAGAAACCGGGATAGGTAATTTACCATTCCTCGAAGTCGATCAATATCATCTTTGTTCTGTGGTGACTCCATACGAAGTATGGCCTCAGTTTTCGATGGATCTACCTTCAACCCATTGCGTGAGATGACATGACCCAGGAAATGGATCTCGGCTAGTCGGAACTGACACTTGTCCCTGTTGAGTACGACTCGAATCTCCCGACACCTTCGAAGTAGGCTGCAAAGACGACTATCATGCTTCTTCACATCAAAATGGGAGCCTCGTGTATGTGGAAATGGAGCTGGACTTGTATCTTGTAACATGGACTTGTCCCTGTTGAGTACGACTCCAATCTCCCGATACCTTCGAAGTAGGCTGCAAAGACGACTATCATGCTCCTTCACATCAGCGCCCCAGACGATGTCATCTGCAACACAACGTACGCCATCCAAGCCATCAAGCGCTTGATGCAGATGCCTCTGGAACACCTCACCGCTAATATTTAGGCCAAATGGGAGCCTCTTGTATTTTTATCTTCCCCACGGCGTAGCAAATGTCGTTGGCAAGCTTGACTCTTCATCTAGAAGACAGTGAAGATACCCATCCTTCAAATCACAGATGGAAAAAACCCTTTGCCTGTGACAGCTGGGGTAGGATGTCATCTAGCACTGGCAATGAGTAGTGCTCTCTCATATGCACTTGATTCAAAGGTCGAGGATCTAGACAGAGACGCACCTTCCCAGACTTCTTCTGGACTATGACCATTTGGTTCATTCAATCGGTGGGTTCTGTCACTTCTGAGATAATCCCTCGGCTCACCAACTCATCCAGTTCCGCTTACACTTTGTTCCTAAGTGCTTCCAGAACTACCATAGCTGGTCTTACTGTTGGTCTTGCATCCTGTCAGGGTCAAATGGATCTTCTTTCCCTGCAAACTGCCAACCTTTGAGCAATCAAACACCTCAGGATATTCATCCATCACATCTTGAGAGTACACTAAGTTCACTGTCTTAAAGTTCTCATAGTGGACAGTGAGAAGCTTCATCTGTTCTGCTGCATGCCCAGGAGAAGAGGTGTCAATACATCTTCTCTGACTACAATGCAATGTATCTTGTACTTCTTGCCAGTCTTGTCATTCTTCACTCTGATTTTGGCTCGCCCCAGAGCTGGAGGGGTTGAGCCATTATACATCTTCAAGATAATTCTCTGTCTGACAATATCTGCATCAGAAACCATTCCTCTGGGGACCACATTTACGCTGGCTCCAGAGTCTATTTGAAACATCTCTTTCGTGGTTCCCACTCTCAGCGAAACATAAAGTCCTTTCTTGGGCTTCGTTTCTGTGGCATATACTTCAATGCACCTGATGGACTCAGTATCTGATGAAGATTGACTGGAATGTTCTTCACATACTTTATATAGTTTACCCGGATTGTAACGTAGATGTTCTCTATTGCGTCTGTACACCGCACCTCTTTTGCCTACAGCAAACCGCGAAGTGATTTTTTGTGTGGCATTTATTGCACTCTTTCCCGGACACATGCTGGACACACTTCCTTCTTAGCGTTGTGTGTCTGGGCACAGAACTTGCAGTTCACTTGTCTCATCTTAGGCGACTTGTGTTTCTTGAGTCTTTTTTATCTGACCCTTTTTCTTGAACCTTTCTACCTTATGTATCACCGGTTCGTCTCCAATCATCTGCAACTGCGTACATGCCTGTTCAAAAGACTTGCAGATATCTACAGCATCTGGGAGCTTCAAGTCTCTTTTGAAAAAGCCTTTTCCTTGTGGCAGAATCAGAAATGCCAAGTATGATACGGTCACAAATCAGACTATCTTGAAGACATGTACAAAAATTACGAGTCTTCGCCAGCTCTCTCAACTCTGCTACATAAGCCTCAATGCTCTCTCCTGGACATTGATCCAGCTTGTTGAAAATGAAGCGTTCGTATGTCTCATTCATCTGACCCACAATCAGTTCTGACACTTTTTTAATGATAAGCTCTATATCTTCACCCTGTGCATACGTTCGGCTGTTGAATACCTTTAATCCTTCCGATCCTAATGTATGCAACAAAACTGCGTTCTGGTATTCTTTAGGCTTCTTAGATAATTCAGTGATAATAGCGTAGTTGCTAAACATTTGCTTAAAAATTTTCCATTCATCAACCCTATCCTCCTTTACTCTAAGAGGAGGTGGTGGAGTAACATAAACGTTATTGGGTGGTGCCTGTGCCATATTGCTTCACACCAAATGCTCTAGAACTACATGTAATAGTAATGCATACACAGTTAACAGTCATGAAACAATGGTTAAACAAACATTAATGCATAACACATGCACTAATAGAGGGACATCATGTGCTGCTCATTACTGTGGACATTGTTCATGTACATGTATGACAACAATTATCAGGCACATATCTTGACACATTGTGTAACAGTGCGAATAATATACACACCGAAACTACACGTATGCTTGTTTACAAGTATCTCTGCAAAACCATGCATTGTAAATATACATGGCAAAGAATGTGCAATACCAATTTACAGCAGCCAACGGCAACTATAGCATAGGTAACTACGTTCTAGTTCCTTTCAAACTATTTATGATGTCTCGCCGGATCACAAAAGTCACTTAAACCGTTCATTCAGTAGGAGAAGTCACTTGCTCTCAGCTTCAGGCACTCTCCACAAGGTAGACGATGAACGATTAACAAGTACTTCAAACAGTCAAACCGTTCATTAGCAGATGCAGTCACTTGCACTCCGCGTCTCATCCTTCATTCACTTTACTCGAAGATGAAATGAACCGGTGCTCGACGCCAACGATGAATAGTACCTGCTACCAACTGCTAAGTCAAGTCCTATTTCTGTACCTGCTCCGCGGCGAATCTCGATCATGCAGCTCTACACAGGCGTCGCGAGTGGGAGTGACGTCTTGAGAGAGAGTCTTCCCACTCTTCGCACGCCAGTTTTGGTCAGCGGATGCCCAATCCAACATTGGCATTTGGACTCCCTGCTTCGCCATTACTGCACGGCCGCCTGCTTGCTGCTGCTGCTGTATGTACCGCCAGCTGATCCGGGAGAACAAGGGAATTTTGGCGGGGGTGCACTCCAGTGCATTTCTCCTTACTTTACTCACGTCCATCCAGCATGAATCCTTTATTCGAGGTCCATTATCCATACATATGTGTTTGTACGTGTACCTAATCCATCTAAACATAACACTGTGCAGTGTATTGCATTATATAAATGTGTAGGCCTATGTTAAAAAAAACTCACTTAAGTATGCACCAGAAATTGGATCCACAATTTCAAGCTGAAAAATGCAAAAGCTCCCTGGTGTGGGAGGTGGTTGCCATCTTCCCACACCCTCCTCCCGCTCAGTTGCCCAACTCCCTGACATAATCCCACTCATAACTCTAACTCAATGTTGGCAGCCCTGTGGGTAGAAGAATGTATAGCACGCAGGAGTACTAGTTGTGTGGTGGCCCGACCAGGCTCTACGACTATTTCATGTCGTAAGACTGTTTCTCACCACGTGAAAAGCGTTGTAGCTAGTGGCAATTACCATATGGCTGAAACACACCGTACTTGTGTCCCGAACAGACACTTTGGCAAGTTCACTGTCAAGTTGGTCGGCATCATGTAACGCGAAGAGAGTAATCGTGCTGTTCGATGTCCTTTCTGTCTATGTAGATATCATCTTGGATGACCAAGTTATCCACAAATTGCACCAGTGATATTCGTTTGGGAAATCTTCGGCAGAACATGACATTTGGTCAAAATTTTGCCTTTTGTAAATAGTGCATTGTGAGTGGAGAGAATTGTAACATGCGAAGGCATGGGGTAGTATTGTCTCATAATGACTTTGTTTTAGGTCTAGCTTATTGATCGTTTTGCATCCATTTATGTCTTCAATAACGTATTCTATGGTCGGGGTAATGTGGCGCTCGTGTGTGATAGCTATTGTTTTTCTCAGTTTTAATGACAACACATAATCACATGATCACATGAACAGTTGGAATTAGAAATGTTATTATACCAATACTTCCTCGTACAGTGTTCGCTTATGCAAAGAACTATCCTAGTACTTTTTAACTGCACTAGATCACTAACTGTTTTTCATATACTTTTAGGTTTCCAAAAAAATCTGTAGTGACCAAGTAGCCACTTCTCATATACGGCTGACGAGTTCCATCTAAAGACGAAACATATCAAGGGCATTGTGCAAATTTTCAATGGCATCTGTTGGCATTAAGATTGCTCGAAGCACAAGTAATTTGTGTGATATGGTACGTGCAGTTACTGAGCTAAGTCTATGCAATGTGCAATAATAGACCTGCTATCTGAGCGATAAAATAACTCCAATTCTATACTAATATTATGTTATTTTGCAGACAAATAGCTACAAAACCAACTCGACTCCACGTGGATATTGCTTGATCATTAATAATGAAGAATTCAAGGGCTTGAACCCCCGGAAAGGATCGCAGAAAGATGTAGAGACTTTGCGTCAACTATTTACAGAGCTTGGCTATGAGATGTGGGATACACAAGCAAACACAAGTAATTTGACTGCGCAGGTAACCGACAAGTTGTTACTATATTTTCTACTAACAACCAAACAAAGCATACTCAAGGACTGCTGAAGTTATTTAAGCCAAAGCACAATTTAGTGACGTTCTTGACATGGCAAAGATATTACAGATACAATAAACTAAGCTGTTATTTTATTTTGCTATAATTAAACAATGGCTTCAGGCAAGAGGTCATATATTTTTGCTTTTAGCTATTTTTTATTTTATTAAATTTATAAGCATATCAGCATGTTGGTTTAGGAGCAAACTGCCTGAGTGGAAAATAAGCTGGCCAGCGACTAGATGGCCGACTTCACCAAGGAATGACTTGCGGAAGTGATTGGTTTTTGTTCTTGTAGGAAATAAAAGATGTTGTACAAAATTTTGCTGCTAGTGACAAACACAACAGTGTCGACTCGAGCATTGTTGCCATCTTAAGCCATGGTGGTGCGGAAGACGTGATATTTGGAGCAGACGACGAAGAGCTTTCATTTTCTGATGACATTCTTCATCTATTCGAAGGTAAAAAAATTTAATCTACCCTCTTTTAGTAGAGGGTTACAGGGTTCTCCCCAGGATGAAATTCAAACAGGGGGAGGGGAGGGGACGTGGGGAAACTAGGGGGGTCCGGGGGGGCGTGTTTTTTTACCGTACTACTAATTAATGCGTAAAATCGTCACGACACCACAGACGGTATTTGGGGTTCTTGTATATATAAGATAGCCGAATCGGTGTACAGTTAGTGTTGGGTGTGGGACAGGTTGACTGGTTGTACTTGTGTATTGTGTGCAGTGCATGCACGGCACGGTAAAAATACACGCGCCGGGTGTCCTGGTCGAATGGGAATTCTTGACGATCGATTCCCACGCTGGCAAACTTTTATTGTGGTGGAATTTAATCGGGGCGGAGGTAATTTAAACGGGGCGCAAGGATTGAAACAGGGGGGAGTTTTCCCAAACGTGGCGCGCGCCCCGTTTGCGCAACGTAGGGAGAACCCTGGGTTACATAGTTGTAATATAAAGCGATCACAAATAAAAGGTTACGTGTTTTCCGTGCTCTTTGGCAGGACACAATGCACCGGGTCTAATGCAGAAACCCAAGTTGTTCATTCTTCAAGCGTGTCGTGGAGGTATGACGTATATAGGAATGCATGCTGAGTTGCTTGCACATGTACATGCAATATTACCTATAGTATCGACAAATTACCGTCTAAAAAGGTCAATTTGTGATAGCTTTATTTTGTAGATGTTGTCCTAGTTTCTAACAACTTCTTGCCATATTTATTAATATACTTTCTAATATGTTAATTTTCCCAAACACGACAATTCCACATTCATTTATTAGGTTCTCAATAGCTTTATGGTTGCTAATAAAAACAATTTAAAATTTGGCGAATGATATAAAAAATAAATTACCTACTATTAGGCCTATATAAGTAAAGGTCTGTAGTGCCTATCATAAATATGAACAAAACACCATTTGGTTAATTTCTTGCTCTGGGTCTTGCTTTATAACAGTTGGCTCATGAATATATATATAAGTAAACGCTACAATTATTGTGACTTTAAAAGCTCTGTGTATGTGCATGATAAGATTGAACACTTGCGTGGTTTGTATTTCATTTAGACCGTCGGCATAAAGGGATTCGCCTAAGCCCTCAATCGAGGGATGTGCATGGAGGCAATGATCAGCCGGAAGAGTCGAGTGAAAAGTTTGCGGCAGACTCAGCACCCCCTGCAGCTTCATTCATGCCATCTTTGCATATTCAGCCTGAATCTAGTAAACCACGCAAAACTCCAAAGAAGACAAAACTGTTACCAAACTTGAGTGATTATATAGTATTTCGTCCAACAACTCCAGGTAAGTTTCTAATTAAAATAACCATAAGTAAATAGTGTTCACCCCTGCACAATTAGGAGAAGGAGATCGGGAGCCATTCACAAATATCAATGTCATCATAAGCATACAACCCGTTCTCTGAAGGAGAAAGGGGTCCACAGTCCTTGTACACTCTACATGTAAATAAATCTTGATTCTACCTTATTGAAAGGCATTCTCTGCTTCAGAAGTCCACAGAAAAGGTATGTCCTTATGGGGAAGCATTTTAGCAATGTAGTAGGTATATTATGCGCGTTGCCTTATTGGGTGGTGTTATGGACCTCGCCTGCCCAATGGCGCACCATTCACATTATGCGTTGCCTTATTGGCTGGTGTTAATAGTTGGGTGTATTCAGGGAATCGTTTCTCCTCTCATTCTCACGTTCACTTTCTCTTAGGGTCTAGTCACACATTCAGGATTTCTACTGCCGTCCTTGATAGGACCATTCCCGATTAAAATTTGTCAAAAATCTGATGAAGATCCTGTGATTTGTGGCGGGAAATTCAAACTTTATTAAAAATTTGTAAAAACATTTATTTAATCACGAAAACAATCAGATAGTGTTCAGGAAGCGTCACGATTCAGCCGTTTCCAGACGAATTCGTCCCGATTCTCCAGTTCTCAATCCGATTCTGATCTGATTTGTATCTTTCGCATGGTAAAAAATGACCAAATCTGTCCGGACAGCGTCCCGATTCTCCCAAATGCGATCCGACAGAGATCAGACAGTGACCCGACACAATCTGGACTCAATCGGCAAGAAACTGCAATGAAAAATTTCTCCAGATCATGCCCGTTCATCACGACAGCATCTCGATCCACAGGACACCATCCAGACAACACAGGACATTGTTACGATTTTGATCGGATACAGCAGAATCTGTCACGACATAGTCACGATTGTAATCCGACTAGACAAAATCGGTTGAGTTTTCCGAATGTTACGGGACGCACCTAACTGTCGGGAGTGCTTGGCCGACCTCTCCGGACCATTCCCGACCCGTAGGACTCGGTTACGAACGTATTTGACTGCGTTCAGACAATGATAGGACATTCCAGATCGTTGAGGATAGTAATCAGACTTTTTCAGTTTTCGTCTCGTAGCGCTGTCTGATCTCAAACGAGAGCCATAATCGGCACTGTGTGAACGCCGCATTAGGACGCGTTTGTTTGGGACAAATCAGTCTGATCGAGATCATGTGATCCTGATCCGACCAAACAAACGCAAAACTCACTTTCACCGGTTCACGATTTGCTGTGACCTATCACGGGATGGTTCATAACAATGAACAAGCTGTGATTGGCTGAGGTGCGGGCTGCCATATTGGATCTCGTTCGAATCCGCCTCGCTAGCAGGGTCGGGTTCGGTGGATCGAGATAAAGTGATCTGACCAAACAAATAGTCAGATCAACGAATCCGTTAGATCGAGATCCGTGGATCTGACCAAACAAACGCGCCCTTAATATCCCGGTTGCCACCCTTTCTTACTGTCCCCGTCTTGTCTGAGAACGAGTTTCCGCGCCCTTAAGGACGTTGCTAATGTGTTTTGCAACGCCTGCGTGATACCGTTCCCTTGCCCTACTCTGTCGACCCTGCATTTCTATTGTCTATTAATGTAGTCCGATTCCCTATGTCTCTATTCCTATGACGAAACACCGTATTACACTACATGCTGTGGTTTCGATGTTTTAGTTCTGATGTTGTTAGGGCTCTCCTGTTTTGGTCCACATAGTAATAATTGAATCTCCACTAATCAGTATTTCGGCACCTACGAAATTCTAGCAAAAGCTGTGGCCAATCTCAAGATGAAGATGGTTGTGTGGCGTTATTTTACTGCCGCGCTGTAGTGTAATAGAAAAGTAAACTGGTAGAGTACCCAATTTTCTGAGATATACCCATCCTATTAAAAGGCTTCTCTTAATTTGTCTTTATTTTTACAACGTCACAGGTCATTTCATGTAGAAGCAGGCAAGGCATTGTCGCATTGACACAGTATTCTGTCTGCACTACCATTATACAATTATGAATGGGAAATATAACGTATACATTTAACGGTGACCCGTCAAAACCTGGACCGTCAGAACTTGGACCGTCAAAATTTGGACCGTCAAAACCTGGACCGTCAAAACCTGGACCGTCAGAACCTGGTTTAGGGTTAGGGTTAGGGTTAGGGTTTACTCAAAATTTCAGTGAAACATATCTAAATTCAATTGCCCCCCCCCGAGTTATAGAGTCGATGAGTAAGCACGTACATTGTTCATCATAGGATAGTCAGTTGATGGCCTATTTAATTATCTATTTATTTAGCATAAATATAGCAAAACACGGAGACACATCTACAAACGACAAAAAAAATAAATACACATTCAGAAGTAAAATGGACAGACTGCACGCTTTATAAACATTTTCCCTGTGACAACATGGACGGTCCAGGTTTTGACGGTCCAGATTTTGACGGTCCAGGTTTTGACGGTCCAGGTTTTGACGGTCCAGGTTTTGACGGTCCAGGTTCTGACGGTCCAGGTTTTGACAGGGAGCCACATTTAACGGTGGATCATAGCAACCAACGGGAATATGTAATACACATCACAGAAAGGTCCTGGGCCTTGTATTCGTGAACTGTTGTTATTGAACTTCATCACATAAAAATCTTAATACTTTTTATGTTTGATCGCAGGTGTAGCAGCAATGCGACACCCAGAAAAAGGCTCTTGGTTCATCAATGTTCTGGCTGAGGTGTTTGCGGCAGAAGCATACTGGAGTAACCTGGATGACCTTGCTCACAAGGTTTAAAATTATTAGCTCATCTGACGAAGTCAGATGCTGCTTGTAGAATCGCATGTGCGTTCGTCCGTGATCCGTGTGTCCGTGTGTCTGTCAACAGTTTGGCACAAATCTTAACCGCTCGACGTACGGTCACGATATTCGGGACGTCGGGGGGGATCGTGAAAAGGACTCGGGATGACCAATTTGGGGGTCAAAAGGCAAGATGTGTCAACGGAGGGGGAATATTTCCCCCTTAAGTTAAGGTATAGGAGGAAATACGGAATTGCGGCACAAATCTGAACGGCTCGACCTATGCTCTTAATATTCGGTGTATAGTGTGATGGGCAGGAAACCCATCACCAGTGCGAAATTTGAGGTCAAAGGCACAGGTCAAAGGGCAGTGGGGGAAAGGTCAGATATCAGACATTTTCTGAGGACATGGCCTAATGGACAGAGTAAAAACCTTTTTTGTTTCAGCGCTGACCTACCATTTTTATTACTTTATTGAAAGGACCATGAAATGTGCTTTCCACTGACGTGCGAAGAGTAAGTGTCTGATAACCTTTTGACCCTCAAGCGGAGGGTTAAACATGGATTTGTTGACGGTTAACAAAGGACTGAACTGTGTTTGATAGTACTTGTATGATCGTGAAAGACTTAAATTTCACAGTGAAATTCTGCATGCAAAACTTACTTGAACAACGTTTACGCGCCTTAAATCATATATGAACTTCATTCTTTATATGAGATTCTGTACGTTGGGAATACAATGTCAATACCACTTACGCAAACGTCTGTTTTTGATTAAGGCCAACTATAAATAGGCATACCTCGCAGATGGGTGGCTGATAGTATCACAGCATGGGCTAAACCATTGCTAAAGGAAGGTAGCAACTAGTTCGGATTATCTATTCCCTGCACCTAGTCAGTATGCACGCCATCTATCAGAACAGAGTGAGAAGAATGTCCCGGCAGGATAGGTCAAATGGGCTAGAAAGATGTGCTCAAAAGTGCAGAAAGAATTACTTTCTTAACTTCGGTTTAACCAATCTTGAGATAAGTAATTGCAGAAATGAATCGTCAAACCTACCAATGAAAATTTGCCAGTTTTGTACTGTCCTTGGCATGGCTCTCTCAGTTGACGTTACAGTAGTGTGCAATGTCGGGATATGGTGGAGCATTCTGGCTTGTGGACGCTGCAGAGCCCGATGGTTGACTTTCAGTCGAAACGTGTTGATCCTCCCCGACATTGAAGAAATCTGTACGTTATACGTGCATCTGCCTTACCTCTGCCCGCCATCTTCGTTGAAAGTTTGGACGCTGCGCGGCGAAATCGGAATGTACATTTCAATCGATGACGTAACTGATACATTAGCGCGCAGCGTGGGTGTTACTTGTTTATAAACAATTTAGTCCCTCTCCCTCTCTCTCTCTCTCTCTCTCTCTCTCTCGCTCTCTCTGCAATAAAAAAAATGTTTGCTGAAATGATGTGTACGCAACTGCGTATCTGCATATCTGCGCCTAACAAAGATGTCACTACGCACGACTGAAATGTTACGTATCTAACCGTAGCAACAGACCTCAGATGAGCCCAGTCGCTCTGCGGCTCTTGTTTTATTATATCAAACGCCCTTCAGAAAAATAATGCGCCCAACGTTTTGGAATGTGTAATAATATAAGTGTGATGAAGTGCAACTTGGATAATTAGTTAGCTTAATTACACTATTACAAAACATTGTTCCCATAAACCACCATGTTTGTACATGTGGCATGTCTAAAGTCAGAGTTCATCAAGCTCGTGTTTATTGAAGTGAAGATGTGAAATTGTAAATTTAACATGGATTTCTCATACATTTGCCAATAAAGGTGAACACCAAAATGTCAGCGAAACAAGGAAAAGAAGTGGTTAGGAATGCAATTACAAAGAAGGAGCAAGCCGAATATCGGAAGCAGATGTCAGTGTGTGATTATTCTCTACAAAAAGACTTCAACTTCAATCCACCTCCTGTAAGTATAGTATTAGTTATGGTATAATCATTGATGAAGTTTTTGTTTCAAAATTCTAGCCAGCTAAGAAGTAGCTATAGTTGTATTACTTACAGTTAAATTCAATATTTATGTAGAACTGCACAATAAACCTATGAATAATGAATAAGTCAATGTACATCAAATTGTGTGTAATTAAACATGGAGTGTGATTTTTGAGTGTATAGTACATGCCATCTTGCAATGTTTGAACAACTAAAAATTATGAGCAGCAAATATTATGAATGATAGCATTGAGATAAATATTTGGGACAAATAAATATCCAGCGTGCTTTCCTGGTTTGTTTATTATTTGTAGCAATACAAACTCTTCAATCACCACTCTTATGAAATATAATATACTAACATTAGTCTCTTTTAAATGATTCCATTGTTTATATTGTGTTATAGAATCTCGTCTTTTATGGTGAAGGACGTTAGTGAAATGTGTTCATTTTTCAATGACTTTAGCTAACCGAGGTTGTTGGATGGGGCATTACATTGGCGTACTGGTACTGGTCTGGATTCCTGGATTTAATTAAGGATGACTTATCGAGCAAGTTGGAGGCATGGAACAATAAAGAGATGGCTGGTGCCACAGTGATGCCACAGCTCTTAATGCTCTACTCACAGAGCTGTCGATTATCGGAAGAGACTACAAGGCAAATGACAAAGCTGTTGGAGTCAGACACTGAAAAGAAGACCGTTCTCATAACAATGAAGAACCTGTGCGGTGTACGACAGAAAAAGTATTTTGTTTCTCTTAATAAACGTAGGTGTAGTCGCAAAGACTACTACATTTCTTGTGACTATCCCACCTGTTTGAAAGGGTTACAGCTTACAGACACCGATCGTGAGCAGAGAAACAATGAGCTGAATTGGTTTCATATCACGTTGCAGCAAATCCTATCCAAGAGGTTTTTCCAAGGGAAATGTCCCTTTGTACTAGTTCCATTTGATGACAAGAAACCAAATGCTGTAGATGCTACAGTGAAGGAAGTGACTAAGCTATGGCGAGAAGACAAAATACATGGATTTCAACTGGAGGATAGCAAACCGGAGTGGCTGAAAATGTCTGCTTCACTGCTTGGTAAAGAGTTAACATTTCAAAGTTGGATGCCTATAGGCATTTTGCTTGCGCAGCGATGGGCAGACCTGTATTTCAGAAATTATGGCCCAGAGTTGAGAAAAACTGTCACAAACTTTCTTAGCACGCGGCACGAGGCTCAGGTCCTTCTTGACGATGATGATGACAATGATGATGATGATAGTGGTCACGATATTCATGAAACTAGTGACTCTGAGAGGGTTCACCAAGGCGATGGTGATACTGAAATTGACGCTAGTAAAATGGACTGGCCGGCAAGCAGTACCGATTCTTTTCCAGTAAGAAAACTCCTAGTGCTGTTGCCCAGGACGTGCAAAACGTTCGAATGTGTATCTGACGATGAGAAATCAGTTGTAGCTGAGAAAGACATGGATCACTTTCCTGATAGCACAAAAGGCATAGGTGAACGGCTAGTAGGGAAAAGCACAGTTTACAAGCTAGAAAGTGTATTTTTCCTGGCAGAGTACGCAACCCCACTGCGTTGCCTGCGCCTCATGATGAACGATGGTATAATAACAGAGCAGTTAATGGATGATTACTATCGCCAGTTTTGTAGCCACTTAGAATTATGGTTGCAAAGATATCGATCATTAAAAGAGAGTTTCAGCCTTGTGCAGTATGATGATAGAGGTAGGAACCAAGCACTGCTGTATGCTCTAAAGGTGCATCTAACGCATCATCAACTATAGTTCCTTAATTATTACAGGGATATGTTGATGGTCTTCAATCGTATTACTGACCTGAGGGCTATTATATCGCAGTAGTGTCGCTGGTATTCAGCAATATTGATATCTGATAGATATCTCATAAATATCTCCAGAAGTACATTGAAGTGCCTTTCGTTAATAATTTGAATATTGGATAAGCAAATAGGTACAATGCAAGTATATATAAATCGTATATATAATCAAACGTGGATTTCGGTGGTTGACTGCTGTATTTAAATTGCACGGTAGATGGACCTTAATTTTAACATGATTATGTATTTGTTACGCGCATGATTTCATGTTTGCTACATTTGAAACATAAAAATTCTACATAAAACATCAATATCGTTGGTAAAATGTGTGCTAGTCAAATGCCCATTTTTTCGTTTTCTAGCAGTTTGAAATGACTATCGAAGTGAGTGTAAAACGTTCTATCTATTAATAAGTGAAGCTCATGACCTCATGACCTTCAACAGGAAGTAGTACTATGATTTATTTACTGTTTCAGAAAATAAACGTAGTTCGATCAATATAGAAATTAATATGATTAAAAAGCCAAATCTTTGTAAAAGATTTGGTCAAATTATACAATAATTTGTAGACTCCCTATCAGCTGGTTAAAAAGCCAGTGTATTAGAGCTTGGTCGATTTTCTATTGATTAGTTGCAATGTATACTAAGGGTTCATTGAAGTTATAATAAAACCAACCAATAACAAACAAAATTGTTTGCTTTTCTTGGATTGTTATCAATGTATCGTGATTTGATTATTGATGTATTTGGAGATATCATGTAAGCATAAGAACTCTGGGCCGTAATTAGAAAGATTGTTAATAGTTAATTATGACGTTATAAGTGTAAAATGTCCCGACTTTTGTGTAATTTCACTTCAAAAGTTATAGTATTTTATACGCATGATTTCATAACTTCTTGATCTTTCTTACACCGGCCGCACGGTCAATATATACGTTTCGTAACCTTTTATCAGTGCCTGTATTTTCATCACTATTGTGGCTGTATGTCATGCCTGATGACAATGCTTATGTAAATGAGATGTAAATGAGACCATTCTACATTCAATTACCTATACACATGATTTTTAAGCATTTATTCTATAAAAGGGTGGATGTTTCACGTGTTCAAAAGAAGCACGTTGAAAACATGTGTACTGGAGTAGTAGTGTGGCTATATTTTATGTAAGAGAATATTTTAATGTTTGGTATATTTGGAGAAAAACGGTCACGTTCACAATGTTTGAATATGCGCTGCTTCTGTTAATTTTCGATTGTTAAAATGTCGATTTTTTATGAAAAATATAGGTACTACGGGCTTTGGCCTGATGGGACGTACGTACCATGGTAGCAGGAGTTAATAATAGAGATCTAGAGATTTCGAGAGATTTAGATTAATAGAGTTCTCTATTATTCACTCTTGATGGTAGTAATAGGGAAGAGAACCGTGCCATTGTGTTACGCACTGCTACTTGCTACCAGCTACCTGCAGACTATACTATATATGAGCCTCGTCTACACAACGAACCTTAACTCGAGTTACGCGTTAACTCGAGTTAGCGATCATGTAGCGTCTACACGACAACACCCGATAGCGATTATTACCGATTTCTTATGCATGCGTGCGTGCGTGTGTATGTAAACGTGCGTGCGTGCGTGCGTGTGTGCGTGTTCGTGCGTGCGTGTGCACGTACACGTGCGTAGTGCGTGTGTACCTACACGTGCGTGCGTCCGTGTGTGTGCACGTACACGTGCGTGTATGCGCGCGTGTGCAGGTACACGTTCATGCGTTCGTGCGTGCTTGTGCAGGTACACGTGTGTGCATGTGTGCGTGCGTGCGTGCTTGTGCAGGTACACGTGTGTGCATGTGTGCGTGCGTACGTACGTGCGTGTGTGTGCAGGTACACGTGCGTGCATGCATGTGCACGTAGACGTGCGTTCGTGCGTGCGTGCATGAGTGAGTGCGTGCGTGTGCAAATACACGTGCGTGCGTGTGTACGTACATCGTACTAGTGTTGCCGCCTATCGTGGAGTTATGTACTATTCGCTAACTCGAGTTATGCTAGCCGCACACTATCCGACCCGAGCGCGATTTGAAGGCTTACGATTGGATCGAGATGTTCTAGTTTGGCTCGGGAGGCTTAAGATTGGCTCGGGAGGTCATTTTGGCCCGATTCTAATTTTGAATCGGGAGCAGATCGGGTCGGATAGTGTGCGAGGGCTTACGACGCGACTCGGATAGTGTGCGTGGCCATCCGACCCGATCGACGAGCGCTGAAGAAAATTGACCAATCACAGAGCTGCGCCATGGGAACCGCATTCGAATGGAATGGCATTCGAACCATGGGAAACACTCCCGACGCTTAGTACACGCTAAATCCGCTTGGAACGCCACGAGAGTGCCATGGTTTGCGTCAACTTTGAGTCGGACAGTGTGCGGTGGCCTCCCGATCGATCGGGATCGGGTCGGATAGTGTGCGGGGCGTTAGTGCTGTGCACAGTGCAAAATCGGATAGTGTGCGGCTAGCATTAAGCGTCTACGCGGGGCCTTAACTCGAGTTAAGGTTGTTGCGTGTAGACGCTTAACTCGAGTTAAGATTCGTCGTGTAGACGAGGCTATAGACTGATTATATATGCGACCTATATAGACGGATGCAATTAATGTGCCAATATGCTCTAAGCACTGCTGTGGACAACTACATGGTTATTATTACTTGTTCATGCGGACGTTTACCGAATAAAACATCATGCTCAACTGTTAATCATTTATCTTAATAAACGAGTATATATCACCGTTACAACAAATAGAAGCAATGTTGCTATTTATGCATTTTCTCAGTTTGCGCAGCATGACATGCAAGCAATATGTCACATCAACTCGTAATGGCCAAAAGTTCTGTACGACCGCAAAATCGGGAAAAGAAACATAGACATTGATTACAGCCGGCGATATTACATTCCTTCACCCGTAAATTTGTTCACCGCTTAATCGCGACACTTTTATGGTTCTTGACCATAGCAATTATATAGACACTATTAGAGAGTCTAACTAGTATGTTATTTCTATGTTCTTAACCTACCCCGATAAAGCGGGGGTCCACTGGATGTATGTGTGCCTGCGTGCGAGCGAGCATGTGTGTGCGACTGTAAAATATCACATTTTAACTGGTGCAGAGCGCAACACGCGCTAAACATTAATATCGTCTACTGACCGACGCTGTCACAAAATACATACATTGTTTACTCGCCAGTGATGGCCGTCATGATTTGCGGAAGAGCTCTAAACCAGTGGAAGAGGTCAAGATATCAGAACTAGAAACATCCAGACAGAACAAACCCGTACGCCCGCGTACACACGTTTTACAAAAACAAATGGATCCAGTCCTACGCACTGTGCCGCGCCGGAATTCTTGAATATTGTTGATGCAATTGTTGTGCATCTTTTAAGGAAATATGCTTGTTTTTGTGATACATTCATGAACAAAGCTGAATTTTGATGCATTTCCAAAGCACTCCGTTCTAATTTCCTTACTATTGATACAGAGGTAAGACAGATATACAAAAAATATGCACACAAATACAGCTAAATTGGCACATTTTGTGCAGTTTTCATGCTTTCAAACTGCCCCTATCGCGGCTCACACGCGGGGCATTTTCTGACTGGATACCGAAGTGCGAAGCGCAGAAGCAGGTCGTATATATATATATATATATATACATACATATCAAGAGTACATAATAGATATATAGATATTATCAAGAGCTAATAAATACCTAGAGTGTACAACGGAAAAACGGGAAAATAGTGCTATTTCACGACAACATTATTCTACTTTGCCTGCGAGTCTATAATAATTTCATGGTATTGCATTATGCAGAATTCTTTGCTCTCTAAAACAAGACCAACCGCATGTCAATACGATACTCCTAGGCGGAGATATCGGCTCCTAAACCTCCCCTCCCACATGCTAAACGCCGCCTCGAATCCACTTCTGTCCGCATCCTTCACGCGGCTAAGCCTTGCTTCGTGCGAGTTCGGTTTTTCCGCCATAATTTTATGAATGATTTTCGGGTGCAGGTGCAGGGTGGAGGTGACTTTCGGGGGCATCGCCCCTATGCCCTTATCTCCCATTATCTTTCCTAGCACGGCTAATGCCCGTCATGATGGAGCCGGCAATGTTTTTTTAATTAAGTCTCTACAACGCTGCTAGTAAGAATACCAAATTTGGGCATGCGACATCAATTATCAGCGCTCCAAGCGGTGACGGACACCGATAGCCGAAATGCTTAGACGCGTGAAGGATGCGGACAGAAGTGGATTCGAGGCGACGTTTGGCATGTGGGAGGGGAGGTTTAGGAGCCGATATCTCCGCCTAAGAGTATCGTATTGACAAGCGGTTGGTCTTGTTTTAGAGAGCAAAGAATTCTGCTTAATGCAATACCATAAAATTATTATAGACTCGCAGGCAAAGTAGAATAATCATGTCGTGAAATAGCACTATTTTCCCGTTTTTCCGTTGTACACTCTAGGTACTTATTAGCTCTTGATATTATATAGTACTATATATATACTATATAGTAGATAATCGAGACATGAGAGATATAATAGAAATAATCTCTATTATGTACTCTTGATATATATCTATACAGTATATAGTGTCTTTATATATTTCTATGGGTCTGATTATAGTAAAAGTACAACAATAGCAAAAATTATCACATTCAGTTCGATACTTATAAGTTGAAATAAAACTCAACAGGATTCTGATACAGTAAAATAGAAAGTGAGGATTCACATTCAACTTTTATTATAGTGCTAACTTTACAACACGAAATAATACCGAATTGGGTTCCACCAGAAAAATTCACTTTACATAAACCGTTTGGGGAGCGTAGATGAGGTGGAATACAACCGTTGCTTTCTGGGTACCGCCGGCAGGTACCAATGTTTTTGTTAAGAGTTCAGAGAATCAGCGGGATGATGTAGCGATGCTAATTTGCCACACGTATATTTAAAGAAATGTACAAAGCATCTACTATATTACCGTGAAAATGTACACGAAGCAAACATTTACTCAGACTTAATTAAAATTGACAGTGAAATTTTTAATACTGAAAGCCTTGATAACTCCACACATTAAAATAATAAGCATCTAGCTACCACAAGGCCATGAAAATGAACTGACCATGATAGGCAACTTACACCATCACTTGGTAGAAGACGAGCAAGCAATTACATCATTCATAATATATACTTGAATCGCCACCATTAGGGCAGTAATGTTAAAGAGGCATAAACAGTCAAAACAGAAAATAACCATACCAGCTGGAAACCTATGAGGGTTTCTAAATGTTTGATTACAACAAACCGTTGGAAACTTGAATTTACATGTGATACAAAGTAAATCAGGTAAACCAGCAATATCTTCACACACAATACTCAATACTGTCTGAACACAATGTGAAACATTGTAAACGACATTTGTCCATTATTCAATTTGACATCATCATTGCAACTGGGATGCATTAACAAATTTGGGTCTATTTCTCTGTAACTGTTAACCTCAAAAATACTCTGGTACAAATAAAAATAAACCTAAAATAAAACAAGTTAAGGAATGGTTTTTGCTAAAGTAATATGCAGTTTTATATTTAGAACTATATTTAGAACTCCAGCTGCTACCAACATCCCGAATTATGACACAAAGGGGACACACTTAAGATAGTACACAATAAGAACGTACATGTCACAGAACACAGCATACAAATGCAATGGATTGAACATGAGCAGCATACTACTCTACAGGCGCACGTTTTACACGCAAATACTAAAATGCAGAACACGCAAACTACGATGTGAACGCTTCTAGACGCACCAGTGTGTGTGTGTGTGTGTGTGTGTGTGTGTGTGTGTGTGTGTGTGTGTGTGTGTGTGTGTGTGTGTGTGTGTGTGTGTGTGTGTGTGTGTGTGTGTGTGTGTGTGTGTGTGTGTGTGTGTGTGTGTGTGTGTGTGTAGTGTGTGTGTGTGTGTGTGTGTGTGTGTGTGTGTGTGTGTGTGTGTGTGTGTGTGTGTGTATGTGTGAACATTATGTGGCTGTAGCAATTACGCTCAAAAAGCGGATGGCAAGACAGACAACTACGCAAATGTGCGCCCAAATTTACAAAGAATTTCTTTCAAAAAACAACGAGAAACACCTTGAGCCCCAGTCAAATTTACGGCTGCACAGATATCAGTTACAGAAATTGCACCATTCAGAAGGGGAGACAATTGATGAGTTTATGACTAGGTGCAAGCTTCAAGCGAAGAAGTGCAAGTTTGGTGATGATCAGGAAACTAACGAGAGATTAATTGAACAGTTAATCATCGGTACTATACACAAGAAGGTCCAGGAAATTCTCTTAGGCAAAGATGGGAAGCTAACACTTGAAGAAGCGCTAGACAAAGCCCAGAACCACTACTGCAGTATGAAATACTTACGTGACCATGACAGACCGTCGGTACCGACCTGTTCTATCTGGATGGTGAGGAGTATCTTCTTATCTGTGACTACTATTCGAAGTACCCAATGCTCCCCCTGACTATAATCAGTGACAACGGCCCACAATATGCGAGCCAGGTGTTCAAACAGTTCACAGAAGAATGGGGTTTCAGTCACGTGACATCGAGTCCCCGCTACGCACAGTCAAATGGCTTCATCGAGAGGGAGGTACAGACCGTAAAAGGTGTACTTGCCAAAGCCAAAGCAGCACATACTGATCCGGACATGGCAATGCTGATCATTAGATCCACACCCATGGATTGCCACTTGGTAACACCATCAGAACTACTGAACTCTCGCAAGTTCAGAAGTAATCTTCCAGTAAAGATTACCAACCAAGCAGCTGACAAGGATGCAGTTTCACGTCGACTTTTTGAGCGTCAAACAACTCAAAAATTGTATCACGACGAGAAAGACACTATCCCCTCTGTCCCCAGGTCAATCGGTCAGAGTACAGGACGAGAATACACACAAGTGGAAGCCACCAGTCGTCACATGAAAACATGTGGCACCACGTTCGTATGAGGTGCAAACATCTGACGGCAACAATCTCAGGAGGATTCGTCGGTTCATCCGGTAAACCAATGAGGAATTGAGGACCCCCTCATATCCCCCAGGACAAGATGACCAGGAACCAGTTCCACCCCCAGAGATAGGTGTGAGGTCCCTAACAAAACACGTCAGATTCAAGGCAACGATTGAGAGTGAGCCAGCGCGTGCTCCAAATACTGGGAGTGCCAGTGACTATCAAAATTATCATCGTTCAGGCAGAATGGTCAAAAATCTGAGAAAGCTCGATTTATAATTTGTGTTAACAATATACAGTCAGGCATTTGTGTAGTGGAGAACGCTAATCAAGTGCATACGTGTTTACAACTTTGATATTTGGGTTAATTAATTCGGTTGGATATTCGGGTTAACTACTGTAACGTTCAGTTTTTGTGACAGTCATGTTGAACTGTAGAAGTAATCGTGACTATTGACAATTAGCGTGGAAAATGTCCAAGCAGGACTATTACAGCATTAACATTAACGTCATGTTGGTTACTACTCGGATAGCATACTTTGAAGGACTTTAAAGTTCAGTTTTTACTCCTGATTGAAGTACAATCTTTCTTTTAAAAGAAAGGGGATGTAATATTATGCGGAACTACTTTGTAGCCTCATCACTACGCGTATACCTGCGTATGTACACTGCTTTCTGAAAGTAGTCCTCTCCGGGCGTCATGACTTCTGGGAATGCTGACAAATACTACACGACTTTATCATGTTCTCTATGTCTGCATTACAGTTGTTCCAATAAACACAGGTACGAGCCCTCAACCGGATCTTGTCGATACCCTGGTGAGACTCGTGAAGTTTCGAGAGAACGTAGCTCTGCATGCTGTCTGGCATCATGACAGTGACCAGAAAACAGGTGCGCGGATAGCTGGGGGGAGGGGGCAGTCAGTCAACTCGCCGGACCACATGCGACGCTTCTACTGCGGCGACGGAGACCGACTTTCGTCCAAGATCGGGGGAGACACGTTGCTTGGGGACAGCGATCGCTCCTGTGGAGTCGGTGATCGTCTCGGCTTGCTGTGTGTCCTGCTGCCGGACCGAGACTTGGACCTGTGACAACACGCACGCACGTAAACGACTCGTGTAGTAAATAAATGTGCTAAACCCCACACACGTATTCTGGTTTTAAAACGCCACGTACAGTTCGAGCAATGCTATCGAATACGTTCAATAATTCTACGATGTCAACAAACGAAAAACAATAGTGCAGACTGTTATCACACAAGGCCCACCCAGTAAATGGCTCTATACCATCAACAACAGTATAGCACGCAACTTACTACGATTGTCTGGTTGGATAATGGTATTTCCCAGCAATTTGAATCCCAATCGATTGTTTACAGCACCTGTCAATTGTGAGACACCCGCCTCGCATGTGCCAATTATCATCGATACGACTGCCACCCAACCCCACTGCAGAAACCTGAAGCGGTGGTCACCAACACACACACATGCACGCACGCACGCACGCACGCACACATACGCAGGCACGCGCATGCACGTACACACGCACACATGCGCACACACGCACACATACGCACGCACGCGCACACATACACACGCACGCACACACACACACGCGCACATACACACACGTTCTTGGACACGCAGCAGCAGCAGCAGCAGCGTTGAGTACCTGCCCGGCCACTAAATACACGCACCTGCTACTACGCCGTTCCCGACGATCACGACCCCGCGACCTTGACCGGGATCGGGAGCGCCTGCTGTTTCGCCTGTCGGAGAGAAGAGAGAATGCATCCTGAAACCAAAACTGGAGACACGCTTCTACAGGCGTGCACCCTACTATACAACACATTACTGCGTCAAGCTCCGTCACAGGTGTGTTAAGCTAATAATTTTGACGACATTTATCAAATTAAAATTAATTGCAAATTAACGGCACCGTATGCGTACTTACCTGCCACGACCGTCTCTATCTCGGTCTCTTTCGTCGTAACTGCTACGGCCTCTATAGGGGGAACGTCTGGGATCTTTCATCCTCATTTGATTTGGATCTGATGCAAGAAAACAAGAGGTATATACGTGATGCGACATTGCTGGGCCCTCCATACCAATGTGATATCCAAAATTAAGGCTACTGCGCCCTTTTGTAAACAATGCTGTTGACAAATGCATCAGAGGAAGTGCTCACACAGTGGGTACTGCTAGCGCTACAGCAACGGTGGTTACGCGAGTTCAAGATCACGCAATGTACGTCAGAGTTTCAACCCTTTATCACTGCCTCAACCCACAAACGTCGTTCATTATTCGAATTCGAAACCGGATCAGAGTTTGTCATATTTGTATGTTGTTGTGCTTTCACGCGTGCGTGCGTGCGCGTGCGTTCATGCGCGCGAGCGTACGTATGCGTGCGTGCTGCAAGAAAGGGAAGATGCACTTACTCTTGCGATCGCCCTGGGCAAACTCTACCTCCAGCTCTCGTCCATAAAAGCGAGACCTGTCCAAGCCATAGAGTGCATCCTCTGCATCACGGATGTCGTCAAACGTTATCTACCTGGTCAAGGACTGAAAACTCGCAATACCAACGCTGGTTGGCCCACTACGGCACATTGTTTTCCACCGTAATGGTACTTCAATCGTAAAATGAACCGGAACCAGAGTTCTAGCTTTGTGCATTGTCCACGTTGTGTCGTCTTGTATAACACATTATACAGCACTTTTTTCTCATGATGTTTTTAAGCTTACAGTGGACCACGAACACCATTTTTAATGTTTGCTAAACATTACTGTAAATATGCCCTAACTCGCTTCCCCCGTACTTGCAACTTGCTTGAACTTGATCCAGTACTCACAAGCCAAGCAGTCATGGCATGCCATCGAAACTTTAAACTTGCGCGACTTGCCCTGACAGTTTGCGAGTTGACTACTTGCTCTGAATCATGCCAACTTGCTTGAATTGCCCCACACACTTTGTGCCCACTTTGACCAGAACCAAAATCTTGTGTGCTGAGACCAGTGACTCGATTTCATACTTTGCTTGGCATGACATATGTGTGAGAATCTTGGTTGCAAAGAGTTAGAACCAGAACAGAACCTTGCATACAGCAATCATGCCTTGTTCTTCACTCACCTGCTGCAACAAAACATAAAGTCAAACGTATTGTTGCGTCAGGTTTGGCAACCAGCAGAATGCATGTTACACGTACTGCCAAAAATATAGCCGTACCAAAATATCTAAAATTTCAATATATTAGAAGTAATATTAGTATGATATGTACGCTGTGATATCCAGGAAACTAGGGGGTGTTGGGGGGTTGGGCAGACTGCATGAGCTGTTCAGGTGGTCTTGGTATGGCCGTACATTCACTCAAATGTCAGATATGCATAACAAAATAAAAATTGGTGTTCAGACTCTAGTGTACATGCCTTTTACAGGACAACTGATCTTGTCTAACAGCTTTCTCTGTTTGTCTTTGTGATGTGTGCATGCATTATGCTGCTTGCAATAGAAGATGTCATTATTATCTTTAGACCCTTGCGCCAGCTTTGTTTGAATCGGTTGCCACATTTCTATCAAACTTCAAAGTGAGCACTTTAGACGTTTTGACTTGAAACTCTCTTGCTTGTTTAACTTGACTCTTTCTTGGTTGTACTGAGTCATAACTACTTGTCTGTGAATGTTTGCGACAATTCCAACAATTTCGTTGCAATTCTTTATCTTTGGTCAACATGCTTGTTACTGTTACATCTTTAAATCTGACAAAAGCAACAAAGCAATTCATGAAAAATAGTGTTCAGGTTAAACAACGACCAAGTTTTGACCCCCTGACTTTTTTGAAATACAAAAGACAATTGAATAGAAGACTCATTGAAATTATTGTTTAGAATCGAACATTCTAGACATGCACTCTATTATTTACGTCAAGCAAACCGTACTAAAAGTGTATCTACACAAAGCCATTAGCCACACAATTAATACACAAACATTATGCAAATGATTTCCAAAAATATAACAAAGATCTTCCAACTTTGATAGACACCTCACTTAAAGATTCATACCCACGACAACCACTCAGCCAAACAAGACTTTAAGAAAATAATAACTTTAACTATGCAGAGGCGTACGTATGCGTACTTGTCTACACAGGTACAATATACATGTACATAAATATTAATCAAGACTCCATGCCCTTGAAAGTGGCAAAAGGAACCTTTTGCTCTGCATTTTTCGTGAACTAGTATGGGAATGAGACACATATATAGTATTTATTTCAAGCCTAAAATTTAATCAGAGTTTAATTAAATATTTACATGGTTTTTATAGTGATTTATTACCAAAATGTTTCGTGGTAATGCCTCTTTAAAACTATAAATTTACACAGATTACATGATGCAAAAGGATATTGTACATATGCAATTCCTCGTGGTCGTCTGGTGTGGTAATCTAATGGCACATACACATCTTTAATCGGTCCATACTTTCCAAACAAGCTGCGCAGCTCTTCTGGCCTAAAAAAGGAAAGTCAGTCAAATAGCATTCACATTACATCAGGAGTGGATATAGCTCTAGTACTATAGCCCTGCGGCAACTGCACGCCTATAGGGCCTACTAGTACTAGAGCTAGAGTGGATGAAACAAATGCTGATTTATTTCACTCCTGATTACATTTACATTAATAGCGTTTGTATATAATCTTGCATTTCCAGTACTACATCATGTCGCCAGCGGCCGAGCACACAGGCACTTGGAACGTCTCAAGAAAAAAAATTAATGGTAAATAAACACTAAATGTATTTACTACCAAAGTCTTAATGTTTCTCTACTCTCTTTCACCTATTATTGCCGATAACTTCCTGTAAATACCGTTCAAATGCCGTTCACACACACTGCTGTGCACAAACTAGTTAGAATATAGTGTTAGAATATAGAACATAGAACAACTCTATATTCCAATTTCAAATAGTAGTCGTTTTGTACAAGAAGCTAAATATAACAAGAAGAGGAAGCACCACTATATCTGGCCCAAATTTGGGTTCGGCAGATACCCTAGAACACACAGGCACTTGGAGCGTGTCAATAAAATATAATGCTAAATAAATACGAAATCTATTTACTACTAAATTCTTAATGTTTCTCTACTCTCTTCCACCTATTATTGCCGACAATTTCCTGTAAATGCCGTCCAAATGCTCATCTACAACACACGCTGGCTGCCGCATGCTAGCTGCTGCACACTGACTCATAAATAATATATAGCAGGTAGGAAAGCGTGCTGCCAAAATTCGCTCGACGCTCAATTGATTTCACACGAATACAACACAAATATTCAACCATTCTACTCCATCTTTGTTTCTATTTGAAGGACAGTGTTCACTCGTTATAAAAACACACTGTCTGTGTTTGTAACCGAGCTGTGTCACGCGAAATCACACAAAGCCTGATAAAATTCACGCGTTCGCTCCCGTTGCGCAGTTTATGTAAATGGCTGCAAGTACAAGGCTATAGGCGGTTGCATTTTTGGAAACTACCACGCTGCTTTCCAACTCTCGTACGAGCATCGCCAAAGCCGCCAGTGGAGCGTTGCAATAATGCGGTGCAAAAATGAGGTCACGAAGAGCGCCGGTGGGTGTTTCCTGATTCCGACAGTCATTTACATAAACTGCGCAACGGGAGCGAATGTGAGAATTTCGTCAGGCTTTGTGTGATTTCGCGTGACACAGCTCGGTTACGAACACAGACAATATGTTTTTATAACAAGTGAACACTGTCCTTCAAATAGAACCTGTGACGTACTCATTCCCAATGCGCATGGCATTCGGCTAACTTCGACTCCTGTGTTGCCTGACATGCTCTGGTGTGCTCTGGTGACGTCATGACTGACAGCAGGCATCCCATGATGCATTCGATCTTGGAGCCGAACTTAGCCAAACGCTATGCGCATTGGGAATGCGTACGTCACAGGTCAACAGAAATGGCGCTCGAAATATCGCTGCTCGCCACTTCGAAATTTTGTAACAGGTTATATTAGTTCAATACAGAGTATTGTGATACATAGCAAGTCCCAGGATAGCAGAGAAAGGTTCGTGTTTAGAATATACCCAGTTTGAAAGTTCTAGTCTCGAAAAACGCCCCGTAAAACCGCCCTAAGTGAATCACTCAGGGGCTCCTCCAAAGAAAAGAATAGGCTCACGTTGTAACCCTACTCTTGTTGGGTTACATTAATATTGTATCTACCCCCACCATGTATATGTTGGAGCTAGTAATCGCACACCTAGCTCTAGTAACTATAGCCCGCGTACGGTTGCTGCTGGCCACAGGCACTTGGAACGTCTCAATAAAAAATATTAATGGTAAATAAACACGAAATTTATTTACTACCAAGGTCTTAATTAATGTTTCTCTACTCTATTTCGCCTATAATTACCTGTAAATGCCGGCCAAATGCTCATCTGCAACACACAAGTACGCCGCACGCCCGCGATGTGAACAAACAACATGAATAAGAGAGCAGGTAGGAGAGCCTGATAGAAAAATTTGCTCGCCGCTCGCTTCATTTCACACCTTCACAGCACGAATACACACCATCACAGCTTCCATCTTGGTATCTATGTGTACATAAATGTTGACTTGTTCGAATTATAACTCTGCCCTTTGTCCTTTATCTCGTGAAATCCTGCAGGAAATGTTCTCTCCGTGAAAATGTAAAGTAAGTGTAAAGAGGACAAGATGTCTGATTATACACGAGTAATGGCGGCGCATTGCATGCCGGGATGAGCTGCTGCCGGCCTCCGAGCTTCCGTTTCGAGGCCCGCCAAGCCAAGCATAATGCGTGCGGGCATGACGTCACGCACACACGACTACAGCGATCGATCGAAAGTAGTGCCGTTAGGGATTTTCGGATGATAACGTCCTCTTTACATTTTCACGGAGAGAACATTTCCTGCAGGATTTCACGAGATATCTCTGGCGGGAGTAGGTAAGTGCAAAGGCCAGAGTTATAATTCGAACAAGTGAACATTTATGTACACATAGATACCCAGATGAAAGCTGTGATGGTGTGAAATGAAGCGAGCGTCGAACGAATTTTTCAATCCCGCTTTCCTACCTGCTCGCTTATTCATGTTGTTTGTGCACGCAGCACAGCGCGGGCGGGCGTTCGGTGTACTTGTGTGTTGCAGATGAGCATTTGACCGGCATTTACAGGGGATTATAGGCGAAATAGAGTAGAGAAACATTAAGACTTTGGTACACTTCGTGTTTATTTACCATTATTTTTGTTTATTGAGACGTTCCAAGTGCCTGTGATCTGCGCTATTACTATTAGAGAGTTACAGTTACTGTTAGAGGGCCAGGCACTAGAGCTATCGCACACCTAGCTCTAGTACTATAGCCCGCTTACATTAACTGCCGTTGGCAGCTAATGTACGCTATGGCCGCTGCCAGCGGCAGTTAATCTTAATGTAAGCGGCTATACTACTAGAGCTATCGCACACCATAAAAAAACATTCAAACAGAGCAAAAACGCTTGTCTTCGAACATTGGTAATATTACTACAACATACCTTGTACCGTCAGGTACATTTCTGATATATAAAGAAGTGTTTGGGGGTCTTGAATATCTAGACATCGTTCCTTTGCGCAAAATAATCGTGGCTACTGAAAAATGCAACTAGCACAATGCTAGCACCCGGTGAGTAGATTGAAACCACGACTTTGTAGTATGGAAAAATACACATAGGAAAGAAGACGCGTGATCATCTATAAGTCGACATGTTAATGCGCGCCATCTGGTTTTATGGCCGCAGACTTCATAGCGTGATATATGCTCCACGAGATGGCGCCAGTAGGTATTCGCCAGTCGCCACTGGCAGAGCCACTGATCTCATTTCACTTTTTTATCACGTATTAAAACTGCATTTTCCAGTTTGTGCAGAGTGGCGTTTACGCGGTAAGAATGAGTCGTTTATAGAATAAGAGTAGTATTTGTTGCCACGCTTCGCCTCTTCACTTAAGAAAAATACTTACTAACAACCGTGCACTCGGTCGATCCAGCCCCAATCTCTGCCCAGTATCATGAGTATGACCACAGGCACTTGAAGCATATCAACTGTAAGCGCACGGCGCCGCCATTGCGCGTACACTAATACATAGATATAAGAGCAGGTGCGAAAGCGTGCGCCAGGAATTCGCTCGACGCTCGCTTGCCATTTTTGCAGCGGGATTATCCGCGCGACCCGCG